TCTGCCTAAACTCAATATAGATAAACTAAATGATCTGAACAAACCCATCACAGTAGAGGAGATAAAGAAATTAATTCTAAACCTTAAAAACAATAAGGCCCCTGGCCCTGATGGCTATACAGCACAATTGTATAAATCTTTCGTACCAATGATAACCCCCCTCTTGTGCAATCCTTTTGCAGAGGAGTACTGTAATAATGGATTCTCATCAGATTTGTTGAGTGCAACAATATCACCAGTCCCAAAACCAGAAACCATAATTAAGTATCGCCAGATCTCATTAAAAAAAATAAAGATTTAAAAATATTTTCTAAAATTCTGGCTGATAGACTTAGCTTGGTTATTCCTGATTTAATTCATATAGACCAAACAGGATTAATAAGATCGAGATTGGCCGGTGATAACGTTTGAAAAACCCTATATTTTATGATAGAAGTTAATAAAGAACATATTCCTTCTGCCTTTATTGCTGTCAAAGCTGAAAAGGTGTTCGACAGAGTAAATTGGAAATGTTTGTCAGCAACCTTTTCTGCCTTTGGTATAGAGGGAAAATTAAAAGACCTAACACTATCACTATATTCTACTCCTCTAGCGAAAGTGTATGGCAACAGCCTAAATTCTACATTGTTCACTATTAGGAATGGCACTCAACAAGGCTGTCCGTTAGCATCTCTCTTACATGTTCTATATATTGAGTCTCTTGCAGCTCTCATCAGATTATCAAGTAATATTTCAGGTGTTTTTCTAGCAGGCCAAAAACAGAAAATAACGTTATTTGCCGATTATGTAATTTTGACTTTGACTAATCTATAAATGTCTATTCCAGCAGTATTGAGCTGTATAGAGGAATTCAGTTAACTCTCTAACTTTAAAATTAACATAAATAAGACCCAAGTTATTCATAACAATCTTTCACATACACAGGTTGAATCTTTATCAAAAAACTCTAGATTTAAGTGGTTTAATAATTCCATCCTATATCTCAGAATTAAGATAAATTTTAACATTACTTCTTGGCTCCAGGAATACTATAATGAATTGCTCCAAGAGCTTAAAGAGTTGATAGATAAATGGAGTAAAATACAGCTTTCTTTGCTTGGGAGGATAAATACCTTCAGATCCTATTTACTCCCAAAGGTAGAATATCTTTTTTGGATAATACCTCTTAGAGTCCCCAGAATAAACTTGAGATCATTTCATAGACTATTTGTATCATATGTTTGGGTGCATAAAAAACATAGACTTGCACTTAAAATAATGACAACTAGAACTAGACATCAGAGTGGGGTTTATCCTTTCCCAATGTTTTCATTATTCATGACACTGTTATGTTTTCTCATTTTCTTGTATGGGGAAACAACTATTCCTTTATGAAATCTTGGTATATATATGAAAGGAAGATGTGTGGCAAATTTGACCATTTCCACCTTTTTGGATTGATAAAAACATCTATAGAAATTTGAAGATTGACAACTTAATTATTAATCAAGTATTTTATTCTGTAGAGCCAATAAATAAGCCTTTTTGTAGACAAGTAACTTTCTATCCATACCCCATTGAAAACTTTGAACTTCTTTATTTAACATTTGAATCTGACAGGTTGGTCAGACGAGGATTAATAAAAAATAAAATATATTTATTATGCTGGTAAAATCTGCAAGTTTTTAGATCTACAAATAAGATAAAATCTTGATAATGAACTATACGCATATATAAGAATAGAAGATTTCTTACGTAAAGTTTTAATAATAAATGCATCATCTTTAGATAAGTTCCTTCTTGGAGATCATGGAAAGTTATCTTCTAAGATTAGGGGGAAAAAAAAACCCAAAAAATAATGTGCCTAAATATATACCAGAAAGAAACAAATAGTACACTTTAGTAATCAGAAGTACCTTATAATACACCCCTAAATACAAAAACTCACATAGATAAGAATCGTATACCAACTTTAGTGACCGAGGCATTTCTAAGATTCTGTGTGTTTGTGACCGAGGCCTCTTTGGCATTTTTGCCATGTGTTTGTTCTGATGTGTTTTTTCCACTTTCCCAGTGAATCCATACATATATATTATTTGTTAAAGGATAGATTTTGCTTTCTTCTAATACTCTGTATGCACCCATAGCACAATATTACATATGAATACAATTTTATTTATTTTTTTTTAAAAAGAAACAGATACAAAAAAAAATATCGCTTTTCTAGATAATTTCTACAGAACTAATGCAATTAAGAATTAATAATCCACAGAAGATTGACGTATTGATCGGGACAATTAGTTGGTGTCATATGTCTTCAATTTTATTGTTTTGGAAAGTTATAGGACAAATGGTTAAAATAGTGAATTATTGCTTTAAAGCTGTACCTTTGCATCATCAGCTAAGAATATAACTTTAATAGAAGTTGAAGAATAAAAACCATTAAATTTCTGACTTTCTTTTTCATTTTATGTTTTAATGTTACCATTTTGTTCTGGATTTACCTGTTTATGAATTTTTATTTTTGTCCCCCCACACATTTAGCTTTTCTCTGTGATTGTACTGTCGAAAGCAGCCAATTTTTTTTTTATTTAGCAAGACTAAAGATATTTGAACAGGAAGAAATGGATTTAAGGACACAATTTACTAAATGCACTTAAGATTGGTTGGTACCTGGACTGTGCATGGAGTGTTTAGAACTGCATTGTAGAGGATCCACACATTCAAAGGCACGCAAACCTCATTGTGTAGTAGGTTTGATATATTTAAAGGATCACTATTGTGTCAGGAAAACAAACTCGTTTTCCTGACACTATACAACCCTTAGGTCCCCCCCCCTCCCACCCCCCACCCTCAGGGCTCCCTCCTTTGGAGCTGAAGGGGTTAAAACCCCTTCAGTTACTTACTTTAATCCAGCACCGGGCTTCCTCTGCGCTGGTGACCTGTCCTCCCACTCTGACGTCGGCTCCCGAGTGGAGCGGAATGCTCATGTGCGGCAAGAGCTGCGCGTGCATTCTGCACCCTGAATGCGACTTCCGCATCCTCTGAAACTGCTATGTTTACATCTGAATGGTTAAAACCTGGGGGACCTGGCATCCAGACCACTTCATTGAGCTGAAGTATATTTAACCATATAAAGACTAAAACCACTAAAAGAAATCATAAGCGCAGTGCTTCTTTGTACAAACTCCCCATTACTGCATTCCATTAAAAAAAAAAGGCATCTCGCCCTCAAATAGTTAGATCTCTGCATAATACCAGCAATATTAAGAAAAGAAACATTGAGAAACCTCTGGAATTCAAACAATGTCTCTTTAAATCAAGATTGTTAAAATCCTGGCTCCAGGAGCTAGGCTAAGTCTGGCAGAGAATTATGGGAGTTGTGTTCTGACAACAGCTGGGGAGTGTCAGTTTAATACCTCTGCTTTCACGCACCAACAAGTAGATAGGTTCAGACCATCAATCAGCATGAAGCTATTTCATATGTCTTATTAAATACTGTTGTATGTAATTAAAGAAGGAAAGGGAAATAATGAGTTACAATTTAATTCCATATTATGTTTTTTTTACTCACCAATTTACAGACTTCAGTTTTTTGAAGGAATTACAAAGTCCATGTTTGCGCATCACTTTATTCAATGTTTACATAGTTATTTGTAATAGTTCACAGTTTTTAAAGATGAATAAAAGTGAGAAATTTTGGATTTCAGTTTGCATGGCAAGTCTCCAAAACAGGCCATAAAAGTGAAGTTGCTGAAGAAAAGTGGGAGTGAAGATGTGCTTTGCTAATGATAAATAATCGGCATAATGCCTGTTTAATTATTATTAGACCTGCAATCAAAGAGTACATTAACTAAGTGGGTGATGAAAATAAAATATTTTTTAAATCATGTGAGTTCAACATGCCATTATGGCTGCACTTGTGCGTAGACAGCTGCCAAAATTTGGCCTCCCAATCTTTTCCATATAACCCCCTTTATCCTCTCTACTCCCTTTCCTTCGCTTGTCTCTTATACTTATCTTTGCTCTCCCTCCTCTCTTTCACTTTGTGTTCTCTGATTTACTTGTGTTTTTTTTTTCTCTTGTCTGGATCTTGTGTCTACAAAATTGTAAAGAAAAGGGTTGCAGGCCATTTGGCAAGCTTAGAAGGTGTTCAAACAGAATATACTGCAGTTGCTAATCCATAATGTTAGGTGTTACTACACAAGTGAAGAATAGATACTACTGTTCTACATGTATCTCTCTGATGGTTCTGTTCACCCTTCATTTTTATTTGTAGTGTTATTTGTAATCAACTAACTGTTATATTATTTCTGCCTATACTGCACATTGTTGGTTTCTCATTTGTTTAAAGGGACACTCTAATCCCCAAAGCAACTCTTGCTTAAGAAATCAGTTTTAGTGTATAGATCATGCCAAGTGTCTAGATCATCGTACAATCTCACTGCTTAATTCTCTGCCATTTAGAAGTGAAATCACTTTGTTAATGCAACCTTGGACACACCTCCCCTGGTTTAAATATGTAAAGAGTTATTTTGAAGGCAAATTGTAAGCCTCTCTTTAATTTTGAAAAGTTATTACCCCTGATTGATCAATTAAGTCCGCAGCCTTTCTTAACCCACCATTCCACGGAGCTTCTAGAGGGAGGTCTGGGGGAAATTATTTTAAGATTTTAATTGGTGCTAAATACATACCCCCTCAATTCCCTAATAGTTTTGGTGCCCATTTTCTCCATATTGCCACTGAATGCTTTGTTGTGGGAAGATCAATTAGTTTTACTCAAAGAGGGCCATAGTAGAAATATCAAATCGTTAATTTTGGAATATTCACTTTCCAATAATGCCCATAATGGGCGCAGAGGGTTAGAAATTAACCTAACTAATTGGGCTATGGATGAAGCAATATAATATTTATGAATGTCTGGTATCCCCAAACCACCCATGTTTTTATCTAGCCTATATGATTTATGAGAGATCCTAGGTCAGTGATGGCGAACCTTTTTGAGCCCGAGTGCCCAAACCGCAATACATGCCAACATTTTTTCTCCTTAAAGTGCCAGCACGGCAATTAAACCCAAATACTGAGGTTTAAGTTTAGAAAAAAACAACTCGTACTGTTGTCCGAACTAATAACTTTTGTTTTAAAAGAACACAGAGAGTTCAATGATACAAATTTTAAATAATGATATAAATAGATCAAATTAAGCTTATATTTATTAGTATCTCCAACAAATGCAATACATACACACAGACTGCTGAATACATACACACAGACTGCTGAATACATACACACAGTCTGCTGAATACACACACACAAGACTGCTGAATACAGAGACTGATGAATACACATACAGACAGACTGCTGAGTACACACACACACACAGACTGCTGAGTACACACACACACAGACTGCTGAGTACACACACACACAGACTGCTGAGTACACACACAGACTGCTGAGTACACACACACAGACTGCTGAGTACACACACACACACACACAGACAGACTGCTGAGTACACACACACACACAGAGACTGCTGAGTACACACACAGAGACTGCTGAATACACACACACAGACTGCTGAGTACACACACACAGACTGCTGAGTACACACACACACAGACTGCTGAGTACACACACACACAGACTGCTGAGTACACACACACAGTCCGCTGAATACACGGAAACACACACAGACTGCTGAATACACGCACACACACACACACACACACTGCTGAATACACACATACTGCATTGAGGTGCGGGGTGCGTGTGTGTGTGAGTGTTGTATATGAGGGGTGCTGTGTGTGTGTGGGGGGGGTGCTGTGTGTGTGTGTGCTATATGTGTAAGGGTGCTGCGGGGGGGTAGGGGTACTGTGTGTGGGGGTAGGGGTACTGCTGGGAGGGGTACTGCTGGGAGTGT